CCCTGGGAGGGTCACGCGTTCGCAGGTATCCCCGTGGGGCTGGGCGGGGGTGTGGGGTGCCCAGGGCTAGCACTGGCGCGCAGTGCTGGGGTGCAGGCCGCCGCCGTGGCGGGGCGCGGCTGAGGGTCCCCGGGCGTCAGGGTGGGTCGGAGGGGCGAGCATGGTCTGCCCCGCACTCACGCGCGCTCTGTTCGGCAGCCAGCAGCAGGGCGGACAGGCCCAGGACCCCCGCGTGCATCCTCCGCGCCGCCCGCCCGCCTCCCGCGCCCCCGCCCCTTCCCCTCTGGCCGCCCCGGGACGGGGAGGTTTCCGGCCGGAGACCCCACTACAGGATGCGTTTGGATTGGGCTCTTCGGCTCAACGTTTTTTCCCCGGGTTTCCCTCTGGTTTTTCCCGGGTAACTAGACTGGACGGAGGGAGGGAAGAGAGGCAGCTTGAGTGGTCTGGTTGCTAAGTCAGGTAAAGCACCGATTACGCCCGGCCTCTGGATGTGCGCAGCGGCGGTCCCCCAGCCCTGTGACCGGCCCTGGGACAGGACCCTGGGACAGGCGAGTGTTAGGGCCGCGGAAACCGGCCCCCGCCTCCAGCTGCTGAGCGGCAATCTGGTGAACCACTAGTGTGAGAGCACACGGGCGTCTGTGGGAGGAGCTGACTTGGAACCGTTAAGGAGTCTTTTGAAAATGCTGGAGGGCTTGAAAGCTGGCATCTTCCCCGTTTCTCACTCTTAAATCCATCACGATCTCTGTCCGCACAAGTGTCCCGCCCCCCCCCATGGACTTGACGGTTAATCAAGATTCCCACGTGCAAGAAGTAAAACTGCTCTTTGGAAACACCTTCCCCCACGTGGTACGACCTGTCTTGGTCTTCGGCAATCTGCAGAAATTGAGTAGAAGGCAGAGGAGAGATTCAGGCAAGTCTTTACCGGGGCTCCTGCTCTGGCTGGAAGTGTGTGTGTGTGTCTGTGTGTGAAGCAATAGTTCCCTTGCTAGCTCCTAGAAGGGTTAGGGTTGGAGCAGGGAACTTCTTCCTTATTTGGGATGAGGGTCGGGGTGGGGTCAAGCTGAGGGGTGGCATAGGCGGTTTGCCCACCTTTTTGTGGTGTTGAGTGCAGAGGGCGCTCAGTACCCTACTTTTGCTCCTACACTCAGCTTTTGCTCCTGGCTCTTCAGAAATGACAGCTGAGTTTGTTTTTGTCTTTGTGTGTCTTTGGGAGTGAAGAATTCACCCCAGCTGCACATGCACACAGTTATTTTTAGTGTCCTATAGTTTCTTTGTATTTTGTAGGGTGCAAGCATTCCAGCATTGCAGCAAAGTGTCCCAGTCCCAGGCCTGTCCCACCAAGACATCTATCTATCTGTGTGTCTGTCTTATCTATCTATCTAATCTATCTATCTAACTAGGGTGTAGTTTAAAGAAGTGATATTTAGGCATGGGGATGCTGATGATGCAGGTGGGCTGTTTAACTTTCAAAGTAGGCAGCTAGCCAAACTATTCCTCCTTTTGGGGGCTTCCCTAGTAGCTCAAATGGTAAAGAATCTTCCTGCAGTGTGGGAGACCCGGGTTTGATCCCTGGGTCGGGAAGATCCCCTGGAGAAGGAAATGGCAACCCACTCCAGTATTCTTGCCTGGAGAATCCCATGGAAAGAGGAGCCTGCATGCTACAATCCATGGCGTCAGAGTCGGACATGACTGAGTGAGTAACAGACACATACACATGCACACACACACCCATTCCTCCTTTTTATTTGGGAGAGTTTTCCATGTGCATCCTTAAGTCAAGGATTTACCACTTTCAAAGGACCTTGCTGTGCTGACCCACTGGTTTAATGAGATAGAGTACCTGCTCCTTCTCTACAAAAGCCCTGTAGTAGAAAATGCCCAGCTGAAGAACTTATAGTTTGAAGGGAAAAAATAGAGGGGGGTGACCCAGGTGACCCTCTAAATCAAGTGAAGCTACAAAACAATTATTTTTTCATTTACCAAAATAAAATTGCAGAGTCAGACATCTTTGATTCTTCCCTACAGTTTGGATGCAGTTCTTAAAAAAAATGCTTTATTTCATTGAAGGTAATGTATTTGGCTTCCCTGATGGTTCAGTGGTAAAGAATATGCTTGCAGTGCTGGAGACATAGCAGACTCTGATTCAGTCCCGGGTGTAGAAGATCCCCTGGAGAAGGAAATGGCAACCCACTCCAGTATTCTTGCCTAAAAATCCCCAAGGACAGAGGAGCCTGGTGGGGTACAATCCAGGAGTGTGCAAATAGTTGGACATGACTTAGCAACTGAACAGCAATGTTTATCCCAAGAGGCTTCCCTCCTAGTTTTCCACTCACTTTTCAATGCATTTCTGGATTTCTCATCAGAAATTTGAATTCTGATCTTCTAGGTCGGTCCCCATTTCAGAGTCTCAGTTCTGTGATACAGATGTTCAAACCCCCTGTAAACCTTTGGTGATACTTCCCTCAGGGCGTCCCTTGTGGCTCAGCTGGTAAAGAATCCACCTGCAATGTGGGAGACCTGGGTTCAATCCCTGGGTTGGGAAGATCCCCTGGAGAAGGGAAAGGCTACCCACTCCAGTATTCTGGTCTGGAGAACTCCATGGACTGTTTGGTCCATGGGGTCACAAGAATCGGACATGACTGAGTGACCTTCACTTTCACTTTCCCTCTATATCAATACAAGGGAGCAGGTTTAAGATCTGGGTTGCCATATGTTCGGCTTCATTTTCACCAAAACCGCCTTGTTAAAAGGCCCACTCCCTTTGGCTGACTACTACCTCCTCTTTTATTGGCTTCCAGTCCCCAAAACCTCCTTTTCCTGGTTGTCCTGCAAAAGGAGTATGTCATAATGTGTCCACATTGCGAGCAGGAGTCTCCTCCTCTAGAAAAGGGATAGAAAATTGAAGTCACTTACAGAATTTGGAATTGGGAGGAAAGGAATCATTGTGGTATTCCATACTTTCCTCAATGTTTCAAGTTTTGGAAAAAAAGAATGTTTCCCCAAATTCCTAAGTATTATTGGAGGCATAAATATGGATCCCATTTTCATATGTTAAAAAAGAATCCAATGATTTAAAGGTTTGGAGGAGGGTCTTACTCCTGGGACAGTAGCAGTTTGAACAGGAGCTACAGTAAATGCCTTCAGCCCTGAAGCTATGGGAGGGTTTTTGTGAGGAAAAGTATATGGATGTGTGTCAAAGGATAACTTTCCAAGTCCTACAGACAAAGTGGGGAGATCTGCTTTGTGACAACATTTTTTGGGGAAAGAAAAGTACATTGCACTAATTATTTTAAAAACCTGCTTGTGTGATGGCTGGTAGTTTTACACATTTTATATTTCTTCAGATTTATTCCATGAGCTTATGTGGTGGTAACAAGGCTGGGTTCCTGTTTAGTAAGACAGCTGAGTGCATAATTCAGGAATCAGCTGAGTAGGTTAGACAGTATGATCATGGAAGGAACCCTCCATCCACTTGGCTCAGTTCTAAGGCTTTGGGACAGAATAACAGATTTCTGAGGTCTCGGAGAGCAGAGATGTCTGTCTCTTGAGCCCCAGGTGGTTTCTGTCTGCAGACATAGGTTGAAGGGCCTCAAGTAATGTAGGACCAGATGTCTCTGAAGCTCCCCCAGGACCTTGCCTGAGCAGGTTGTGACATTCTGGGAAATCTGGCCAGTGGAGCTGAAGATCAGAGCTGTGTCACCCCCAGGGCCTGAAGGGGTAGATGGGGTGGGGGCACGTTGAAATGAGTGAAGCTGAGTTGTGAGGAAAGAGCTGTGGAGAAAGGGGGACTCAGAGAGTGGGGCTAAGTCTCTGACCACTTTCTCAGAGTGCAGACCTGCACCCCTGTGTTTGTATGTGCATGCTAAGTCTCTTGAGTCATGTCCGAATCTTTGCAACCCTGTGGACTGTAGCCCACCAGGTTCCTCTGTCCATGGGGATTCTCCAAGCAAGAATACTGGAGTGGGTTGTCATGCCTTCCTCCAGGGTATCTTCCCAACCAAGGTATCTAAGTAGTGTCTCTTACATCTACCTGCATTGGCAGCCAGGTTCTTTACCACTAGTGCCACCTGGGAAGCCCATCCCTGGGTTTACAGGGGCCCAAAGAAACCAGACAGCAACGCTAAGCTCCTTTAGCCACAGACTTTATTGTTTGAATATTTTCAACTATGACTTTTTTTTGGACAGACTTTAATTTTACAAAACCCTACATTGTATGTTGCTGGGTCACTTAACTCTCCCTTTGATACCACATTTCCATGAAGACGTATTTCTCCCAATCACAAACTACCTGACTGTGTGTTACAGGATTCTTTTAGGGGTTCTCCCTCATTTTTTTTTTTCTGACATGAAATCTAGCTGTAGCTTCACTATGATTTTAGGATTGCTGCATCCTCAGTGTGAGAATTTAATGTTGACTGAGAAGTGAAAAGTGATCCCTAAAGTCTTCCCTTCTGTCATGACACTGAGTGTGTTCTATAGACTGAGCATGTGGGGACCGGAGGGGTTGCTCTATGGAGAAAGAATTTCTCATAACTTTCCATGAAATAACTTCTTTAAGATAACTTATTTAAAAGTATGATTTGGTGTTCCTCAGCATACTTTGGTATCTTTCAAGAGTATTCGTCTTTGTTCTTGTATTCATTTTTTTCTCAAGTTTTCTTGTGCACATCAAACCTGGTGATCAACTCAACGGTTGTCAACAGTTATCACAGTTTTAGTGGTTCTCTCCATGGAGTTGGTTCACACTGATCAATAATTATCAAACAAGTAGTAGGGGTTGCTTATCCTCTGCTCATGTCCTCTAAGAGCTTTAGAGTTGGGGGCTGTTGCTGGAAACACCCATATTGTGCTTGTAGAGTGAGTTCTGTTAAGTTACAGGAGGTCAGGCTAATGACTAAAGTCACAGAGATAACACACATGTGGATCCACATCCACAGGTAGTGCCTGTCTGGACTGCACAGCGCAATGCCTGAAGGAACCTCCATATTGATTATGTCACCTCAGGTCAGAACGTCTACTGAAGGTCCTACTGGTTTTCTCTTGTGCTGGGTTCCCTCATGTCGTCTAAGGGAAGAGGCACGAGTGAAGTGTTCTCCACAGAGCTGACATTCATAGGGCTTCTCTCCACTGTGGGTTCTCTCATGTTCCCTCAGCTTAGCATATTTATTGAAGGCCTTCCTACACACAGAGCATACATGTGGTTTCTCTCTAATGTGGATCCTTTTGTGCACATGAAGCCCTGAACTATGAGTAAAGGCCTTCCCACACTCAAGACATACATGTGGCTTCTCTCCAGTGTGGACTTTCTTATGTGAACTAAGGCCAGAGCTTTGAAGAAAGGCTTTGCCACACTGATGACATTCATATCTCTTCTCTCCTGTGTGAGTTCTCTCATGTTGTTTCAAGGAGGAATTTTGATTGAAGACTTTCCCACACAGATGACATTTGAATGGTTTCTCTCCAGTGTGAATCATGCTGTGTCTCCTGAGGCTAGCACATCTACTAAAGGCTTTTCCACACTGATGACATTCATAGGGCTTCTCTCCTGTGTGAGTTTTCTCATGTACTTTCAGGGAGAATCTTTGATTGAAGACTTTCCCACACAGTTGACATTTGAATGGTTTCTCTCCAGTGTGAATCATCTTATGTCTGCTAAGGCTAGAGCATCTATTAAAAACTTTCCCACACAGAGCACATTCACATGACTTACGTCTAGTGTGACTGTGACCCTGTCCATCGAGGAATGACCCTTGACTAAGTGATTTTCCATGCTGTTTGCTGACATTATGTTTCCTTCCGAAGGGAACTATTGTATATTGAAGTGAAGATGTAGGAGTAACTTCCTCTCTCAAATCAGCATATCCAGCATGATCCCCTTGTGGGTGAGAAACCTGCTTTGGGGGGAGGAGATATGAGGCTGTTACTGGTTTGCCCATGTCCAGGTAGACACTCATCATCTACATATTCACCCTAGAGCATCAGCCGATAATAGTTTCCTGTTAAAGTGTGTCCAGTGTTGGTTGCAAACACATGTAGTGTTACTCCCCTGCAGGCACAAACATTCTCTTTATAGTTTCCTGACCCCAGATATCAGGTTAATTTTGAAGATTTCATTGTGTTTTACATACAGGAAATTGTGCTCAGTTACCAACTTATCTCATCACTAGGTCATTCAGTTGATGCCTGGGCTTCTCACCCATGAAACTTACCATCATCCTGGTTGGGGATGTGTGCTTCCAGTAGACACTTTGCATTAATATCATTTCTTGTTGTCTAAAGAGACTTTCACTGCCTACAGAAATGGAAAAAATATATAGATTTTAGAATGGCATTAGAGAAATAAAAACATAGATAAATACCAAGGTCCATGTGCCTGTGTTTCAAAAATTGGTACTTAGATGGAGAGACTATGTATAACAAAAGGTACTGAGGTAGTAGAAATACTTTAAAGGTAATTGTCTAGGAGCTTTCATGGTGGTGCAGTGGTTAAGATTTCACCTTCCAGTTCAGGGAGTGTGGGCTTGATCCCTGATAGGGGAGCTGACATCCCACATGTCTTGTGACTGAAAAACCAAATCATAAAACTGGAGAAATATTCTAAAAAATTCAATAAAGACTTTAAAATGGTCCACATTAAAAAAAAAAAACAACCTTTTTTTTAAGAGTCATTGTCTATTAGAAGAAAACCAGGATTAAATATAGAAATGAAATGTGGTGAAGAGACACTGGGTCAACAAATGACGGAAAAAACATTAAATGGGAGGATCAGGACAAGAATCACTATGTAGAAGTTTTAAGTTCAGAAAGTCCACAGCACTTTTTCCCTGGAAGAAGAAGAAGTGACTGGAAGGAAGTAATATGAATTGTGGTGGTAGATGCACAGAATGTAACAATGTGAGGCGTATGCCCCATGTCCTCACTTCCATTTTAGGATATATCCCTCACTTCAGATTTTCATTGGTATCTCCAAGGATGCTCACCTGGACTCTGACCTTGGAGGTCTGCTGCTTCAGTCCACAACTCTTTCCCTTGTTCCAGCTGGAAAATCACATCTGATTTGCTGATCGGATAGCCTGTTTGATTTAAAAAAAAAAAAAGCTGTGGATTTTGAGTCTAGGCTAATTACTCTTTGCTATGCGCAAAACATAGGTAAGGTAGTGAGGAAAATAAAGAGATAGTTGAAGGTCAGTGCATGCATCAACTACTTCAACAGACAGGACAGTGAAGGTCCTTCAGCAGACCAGGAGGAAACCCAGAGCAGCAGCAAGAACAGTGAGGCTGTCTAAGGGTTGACCCCCGTGCACCAGTTCAGGGATAGGTCACAGATCCTCAGGCTTTTCCAAATGGGAAAGATCAAAAGACTCTATAGTGAGCTGAATATTTCTGTCAAACAGGACCAGTAAGGATTCACCTTAGAGAATCAAAATACATATATATATGTATATGAGATATACATGTACTCTGGTCTCAAGTCTTTGTGTAGTGACAGGAACAGAAGAATTATTTTAAAAAAATATTTCATCCTTTATCCCATTATGTATTACAATATCCATTGAATCCTCAGCTCTGTTCTGAATGTTGAGACTGAGTATCAACAAAGATATGAAACCTGGCCAAGATAACCCTTCCGTGTGGTAATAAAAAATACCATGGAAAGGAACAGCTTCCTTTTTTTGTAGTTAGGAGGGCTAGCGGAGAATCAGGAAGCAGCTGGAGTGGGACTCAGCATAGCTTGTTCAGTGAGTGAGTGAGCAGAATGGACACAAGTGCAGTTACGTCCCTGTTGACAGACTCACCTACAGAGACCAGGTGGGTGATAGTTTCCATCATCACATCTCGGAACAGGTTTTTCTGAGACTTGTCCAGCAGGCTCCACTCTTCCTGGGTGAAGTCAACGGCTACATCTTCAAACGTCACCGATTCCTAAAGCATCAGAGATGTTCTGGTTTAGACAGAGCAGCCCTACCACTGTCCAGAGTGGGCGGCTGAGCTGAGGAAGGATGGGGACTGGGTGCAGCTTCAGAAGAAGGAAGCATCGCTACTCACCAGGGGCTCCATGCTCAACAGCTCAGTCACCGGGAGCCTTTCTTGGGATCTCACTCACAGCCGATCCAAGCACTAGGCAGGCCAATCTGAGGATGGAGAAGAAGCCATGAGACCCCAGCCCTGTACTTCCAGACCCACCTGAATTCAAGCCCCCAACCTTCACCTGGGTGTAGCCCCAGCCCAGCACTCAGAAACCAGTGGTGCATCCAGGGAATACTGTGCAGCTTCTTCTCTCCCAGATCCCATGTGAAGAGCTAGAGCTGAGGTGGCTAACACAGAAAGTCAGAGTCTGCAAATAGGAACGTGCTAGGCATTGACTCTGTGTTCATCAGCCTGTGGCACCCAGACTCACTCAGTGTCCTCCCTGATCCCAGCCCTCGGGGACCCTGACTCTCGCAGAGTAGATGGTGGTTTACTGCTGTAGGTGAACACTCTGGACGCCCCCAGTCATCTCCTGCCTTATGCACCCACAGTGCTTCTCCAACAGCCCTGGCAGTGTGTTTCATACTGCCTTCCAGCTCTCCCTCAAACCTGACATCAGTTCTGTCCCCCACAGATGTGGATATCAATTACCCTAGGACCTCTTTTAGGATGGAGTTAAATTGAGGACTTATTCCATTTGGAGGAACCATAGCACCCACCCTGCCAGCCTCGTCCTTAACATCCCCCACAGCAGAAAGTAGCAGGAGTCCAGGAGTCACAGGGTTACTGTCATAGACTATCTCAATCCTCCTGGTCAAGGATGGTCAGAAATATGGAGATTTAGAAGGAAATTGCTTTATTTACCAATATACAATGAACACCCAGAGGTCCCAAAATTTTTAGTATATGACACATTTGCACTAGAGGGAAGAACAGCTGTCATTTAATTTTGCTCAGTCTGTGTCTTGGGGTAACAAAGATCACCCAGAAGCAGCTCCTTGTTATGTGTCTCTTTGTGATTTATTGCCCAGTTTGGGGGGAACCTCTTTATATATCCAGTCAATCCCCTCATCACATCTTGTCTATCTTGAAACAGAAACCTTCCTGAAGATATTTGCTCTCAGATTTCTGCTCTCCAGTTCTCCTTTCACCATCAAAGTGAAAGCCTAGGGATCATTTCCTATCAGAAATGAATTCCTGCATCCATGCCTCTACTCACTGTGGAGAGGAATCTAGTGTCCAGGACACTTAACAAACCCCAAGATCCACTCAAGAAAGTCACTGGATTAGTGATTAGATTAACCAGAACTGTTGAAACTCAAGTTGGGAGGGACTGTCCAGGAAAACCAATCAAGACTGGGCATAGATTGTCTTTGGTTTAGACTTCAATTTCTGCGTGTAGTGAAATGTTCTTTTTCACTCTTAAATTTCTTCTTCTATTGATAATAGGAATATGTAAATTCCTATGATATCCAGGGAAACCCCAGGCATATGCAAAAGGGCATTCCTACTATAGAAAGAAGACAGAACCTCAGCAACCCTGGCGATGTCCAGCTTAAAGGTCATAGGAATCAAAGGAGGTTAATAAATATTAAATTTTTGGAAGAATTAAAATAAATATTTGAAAATATTTATTTTATCTTGAGATAATTATTTTGACACAAAAATCCATCTCAAGACACATAAGAAATAAAATGAAGAAAATCACTTGATGAAATCCATAAAAGAAGATTCAGCAAAGCAGAAAATGAAATATTTAAAAACAAATTAGTAAAAGCATAGTTGTAGATCAATGGTCAGCAGAACTTTTCAAGATGAAGGACATGCTCTGTATCTGTATTGTGTGAACAGAAACTGCCCCACACAGAATACCTGAAATCTGGCTGGCACTACTAAGGATGTGAAGTTTATCTGTTTAACTGCATTAATTTAACTGTGTGTATTGGAGATCACAAGATCTAGGTATATAAAATAGATTCAAGACAAGAATGTTGGAGCTGAAAAAAATCACGAACAGTCAAAAGTTGGAAGTGAGAGTAGCAAAGAGAATGTTGACACAGTATGATTCAGAGACCATAAAAGGATGCTTTGACTCCAGTGTCTAGAGGAAGATAAGACTTATAACATTTAAGGGAATGAAACACTCCTATCTCAGTTTGGAGGACTCACCAATACCTCAAATAGGAGGAGCCGGTGAAGCCAAGTGGATTCTGAGGACTACACAGTAAGCAGCTGATTTCTTTCTTCAAGGTCCCAAAAAGTCCGGCTTCTTCTCTGAACAAATGCATCCCTCTGTCTGTTTGACTTCTTTTTATACCTGAATAACAGTTTATAACACAATCTGGGCTATGATCCGCCCTATCAGATCTTGAGCTTAATAGGGTTGCAGTCTGTGAGCCACACCCTGTTCAATCTGATTGGATTTTCTAAACTAATTTGAAGTTATAACCCACACCCAGTGTCGAAGAGCAAAGATGTAATGACTTTGAGAAGATCCATCATTTCCTTCTTCATCCATAAATACTTATGATGGATGTATTACTGTATTGGAGAATACAATATAGTACTGTACTGAGAACCATTCAGTGTCTTCAAATAACAGGGCATCAGATACCCTGGGATTCTGGGGAAATGAAGCTGGGACTCTCTGGGAGAAACATGGAATTAAAAATAAAATGCAAGTTGAAGAACTATGAACATTTGAAATATAAGTAAGTGAGTGACAACACAAGATCTTTTGCTGGTCTGCTGAGCATGACTCTTAAAGCACTGGCTACACAGTACTTTCAAGAACATGTTAAGAATCTATTAAGTGTGCAAAGAAAATGAGAAGACAGTTTTACACTCCAATATTAATTAGTGAGGAAATGAACACAAATGTTCCTACGTAGTGAACTACTGTAAATTATTTTACCTCCATGTGTCGTGTAAAGTTGATTTAAATATTTGAGTAGAAACCTTACAGGTGTGGTGATGGCTCTTTAAGCTTAAAATTCCTGGTTCCCAAATGGAAAAAAATTAACCAGAGGACACAGTGAGTATTTCATTGTTTCTGAGGACATTTTGCTTATACCCCATACAATGCCTAGTGATCCTATTGTCTCATGCATTTCAGTTCCATCTTCCATATTCATTAAAGAGTAGTTCACCTGAAACTAGTATATTAAGTTAAATCCACTATACTTAAATTTTGAAAAAAGAGAATTTTGAACTTTTATCATTGTCATTCAGTCTCCATGGAATCATCCTTTTCCCTTAAATTCATCACATTATGTGTAAACTATTTCTTAAATGAAATAGATCACTTTGGATATAGGCACTTTCCACAAGATTTAAAGAACTCCTGTAGGGTTCTTATGCCATCTCCTACATAGCAGGGAAGGAATTACATTCATCTCAGCTCAGGAATTTATTTGTTTTTTTTCCATTCTCTCCTGGCACATCAGAATATATGTTATGATTTAAAACATATGCACTCTCTTTTCATCTAATCTTTATTTTTTCCCATTTATTTTTATTAGTTGGAGGCTAATTACTTTACAATATTGTAGTGGTTTCTGCTATACATTGACATGAATCAGTCATGGATTTACATGTGTTCCTCTTCCCGATCCCCCCTCCCGCCTCCCTCTCCATCCCATCCCTCTGGGTCTTCCCAGTGCACCGGCCCTGAGCACTTGTCTCATGCATCCAACCTGGGCTGGTGATCTGTTTCAACCTTGATAGTATACTTATTTCAATGCTATTCTCTCAGAACATCCCACCCTCGCCTNTGTTGAGCATCTTTTCATGTGTTTGTTAGCCATCTGTATGTCTTCTTTGGAGAAATGTCTGTTTATCATCTAATTTTTAAAAATATAGTTGATGTACAATATTTTATTTGCTTCAGATGTAGAACATTGATACAGTATTTTAAAGATTATGCTCCACTAAAGTTATTGTAAAATATTGTCTGTATTCCTTGTGTTTTGCAATATGTTGTTTTTGTTGTTGAGTTGCTAAGTCATGTCTAACTCTTTGAGACCCTATAGACTGTAGCATGAAAGCTCCTCTGTCCTCCACTATCCTCCAAAATTTGCTCAAATTCATATCCATTGAGTCAGTGATACTATCTAACCATCTTATCCTCTGTTGTCCCCTTCTCCTGCTCTCAGTCTTTCCCTCAATTGGAAAAGCATCAGGATCTTTTCCAGTGAGTCAGCTCTTTGCATTGGTGGCCAAAGTATTGGAGCTTTAGCTTCAGTATCAGTCCTTCCAATGAATATTCAGTTTTGATTTCCTGTAGGTTTGACTGGTTTGATTTCCTTGCTGTCCAAGGGACTCTCAAGAATCTTCCCTAGCACCACAATTCAAAAGTATAATTTATTCAGCACTCAGCCTTCTTTAAGGTCCAACTCTCACATCCACAATGTATACTGGTAGCTTATTTATTTTATGCATGTAAGTTTGTTCTTAATCCTCAACCCCTACCTTGTCCCCCTCACCTCCCCCTCTCAAATGGAAACCACTAGTTTGTATTCTGTATCTGTCTTTTTCTGTTTGATGTTGGTTATTTGTATTTGTTTAGATTCACACATATAAGTGATAACACATAATATTTGTATTTCTCTGTTTGAACTATTTCACTTGGCATAATATACAATTCAATATTACTCAGTCATAAAAATGAAAACAATTTACCATTTGCAAAAACAAGGATGGACCTGGAGGGTATTATCTGTTTATCTGTGGATGGACACTTAGGTGCTTCCATATCTGGGCTCTTGTAAATAATACTAGTGTGAAATGAGAGGTGCATTTATCTATTTGAATTTGTGTTTTCCTTTCCTCAGATTTTCCCCAGGAAAGGAATTTTGGATCATAAAGCAGTTCTGTTTTCAGGAACCTCCATACTGTTTTCCACAGTGGCTACACCAATCTGCATTCCCACCAACAGTGTAGGAGGGTTCCCTTCTCTCCATATTCTAGCCGACACCTGCTAGCCGTACAATTCCGATGATAATGGTGACAGGTGTGAGGTGAAATCTCATTGTGAATTGGACTTCCATTTCTTTGATCAGCATTGTTGAGCATCTTTTCATGTGCCTGTG